ACAAAGTTCAAAACAACAAAGACATTTATGCTACAATAGATTTCTATTTCAGATAAATGCTGTCATCAAGAATCCTGAAAACAATGCATCACAGTTTCACAAACATTAAGCAGCACAACTGTTTTCAACATTGAGAATATTAAGAAATGTTACTTGAGCACCAAATCAGCATATTAGAATGATTTTTGAAGGATCATGTGACACTGAAGACTGGGGTAATGGCTGCTGGAAAACAGCTTGGAAATCACAGGAATAAATTACATTTCAAAAATATATAGAATGAATTAGAATATTTCACTCTATTACTATTTTTACTATATTTTATATCAAATAAATGCAGCCTCTATAATACTTCTTTTCAACGGCAATGTATGTGTCTTTGCATCTTTACAGCTAGACTGATTTTAAAATGTAATATTTCATATCATTAATTTGTTCTTTTTTCTCTCCTTCTCAACTCTTGGATCGTCCTCATCTAGCACTGATGCCCGTACCATCAGCTCTAGCAGTAGTGCCTGGGAAGGCCAGCTGACCAGTATGATCCTATCAGAATACGCCTCCACAGAGATGAGCATTCAGGCCCTCTACATGCATGAGGTAAAATACCACATGAACAGTTGATATAACCAAAACTTTATTACGGATTTATGGAATCAGTGAATGCACATGTATGGGACTGATCCAAGAATGTGAGACTGTCATGATCAACACATGGCAAGAATATCACTAGCTATACTTTCCACGAATGCTGGGCATCTTGGCTGCTTTTCCTTCACTGTCTGGTCCAAATCAGCCTTTTAACCAATAATGTGTTGAAAGAGGTCAGTCTTTAGACTGCACCTGAATATTAATAACTATATCCAATGTATGTGTAGATGCACAAGCAGCAGTCGCGAGGTGAGGTGTCTCGACACACCTGGCACAGACAGGAGAGTGACGAGAGCAGCGAGAGTGTCAATGAGGACATAGAAGCCACCCGCAACTTCCCCCGGTCCAGCACTTTCCCAACTACCTCACACCAGGAGGGGCCAGCACAGCAGAGCGGAGGCCAACGGCGCTACGGCGGAGCCTCAGGTACTACAAATCTGTTTGCAATTCATAAGAATGTAAAGGTGCCACCCCCTCCTTAGTCTTTACATGGGCGACAAATTCTGTCTCCTGTAGATCCTGTTTCTGGAAGCTTTCGAGCCCAGAGAACTTCTCGTATGCCTAGGGGCGGCTGGTCTGAGGAGAACCAAATGGGCAGACATCACGACCCAGTGCCCGAGGAGGGGTCTGAGGATGAGCTACCACCACAAATTCATAAGGTACAACATGCAAGTGTAAATATGAAGCAACAGTGATATGTGCTGGATTCCTAATAATCATTTCTGTGTTCTGGTCTTTTTTTAGGGGACTTAACAGGTGTATCGTAGATTAAGTACTCAAGAGAGACTCACAGCATCCATTTACTTTTGGACACTGATAAAAATATACTCTTGGACAAAACTCGAGTCCGAGCTTAATTATTGTACGTCACAGAGTGGCATCGTGTCAAATTTTCAGATGCATTGTAATGGTTTGAGCTTCTGAGGGAATGATGAACTACGTCAAAATCACTCAATTATTCATAGTTCTCACATATTGATCCACCTTTCAGAAGCTGCAAAACTGGTTCTGTAAAATACTTGATTGTGAACAGGAAAGTCTATTGACAGAAAGCATCCTCAAGTCCTTCGAGTAAACGGTCTAATAGATTTGTGTTCAGTTGACCCTGACATTTCCGTTCTTGTCAAAAAGTAAATCATGGTGTTGATGTAGGAAATCTGTGTTTAGAATTTGAGCTGCTTTGAATAATTTTAATAGGAGGAAGAACTATTTATAATATGCAATGTGCCAATATGAACTTTTTAGCTTTGCAAAAATAGATTTGGTCAAACACCGATTTCTGTGAGGGGGGAAACCACTGAAGATCATTCAAGCCTTGCACTGTAGAAATAATGCATGCTCTCTTAATTTTTATTATTTGCACAACATCAATGCACTTTATTCATATCCAAAGGACGACTCCAAGGCAGTGGTTAAATCAAGACTTGTTTTTATTAACATGCCGTTTTAAAGGAAGTTGTATATTTCTGTCTATAGGATAAAACCCCAGGATTTTTTTTTCACTTATATTTTCAGTTTATTTACCATGGCTCAGGTGAATAAAACATCTATGAGAATGAGGGGGTTATGTAAAACATATATTTCATATATCTCAGGACCGGCTTGTTTTTAGCACTTGAGTTGCCCAGAAAGTGCATGACACTTGGGTAATTGCAGACTGTTGCGCCTTCCATCCTCAAACCCTTAACTGCTAAAAGGGAAGTCAACAAACCTTTGTGTAGTTTGTGTGTGACTGCAAAGATCTCGGATCTCAGTCAGAGGCCATCGCCGCATAAAATGGCAAAATGTATAGATTTTGTTTCTCATAAACTGGCATTTCTCATATCGCACACTGCTCGCATACATTGTGCTTAGAGAGTGTTCAAGGTGCAAATTGTGCATGACCCTTGACCTTTATACTGGTATGTGTTTGTAATAACTGGCCTGTAAAATGCTTCTGTGACCTTAACTAATCTATCAGCTGCAGCTGTGCATTTTCCATTTGTTTTCAGTTTTCTAGATGGTGTTGTATATTTACATTTGGTACAGGTTAAATTCATCAATAAAATGTATTTAATAGTTTGTGTACAATTCTTTAAAAAATCTAAATAGATATGATTTTAAAATTAAAGCCAACTACAATAATCTTAATGTTTTATTAGTTCGTGAATTAAAGGGTTGAAAGTTGTACACCAGTGTTGGGGAAAGTTACTTTTAAAAGTAATGCATTACAATATTGCGTTACTCCCTAAAAAAGTAACTAATTACGTTACTTAGTTACTTTTTATGGAAAGTAATGCGTTATATTACTTTTGCGTTACTTTCGCGTTACTTTTTAATTTTTGAAAAAGTAACTCAGATATTTTCTTGAAAATTAAAAAAGTAATGCATTACTTCACTAGTTACTTTAAAAAAGTAATCTGATTACGTAACTCACGTTACTTGTAATGAGTTACCCCCAACACTGTTGTACACTGTACCGGCACGCACATTTTTAGTTAGTAAGACACAAAAAAAAAAAAAAAGTTTCGCCCGAACAGGGACTTGAACCCTGGACCCTCAGATTAAAAGTCTGATGCTCTACCGACTGAGCTATCCGGGCCTGGCGTTTTTTTACGTCACCCCTCTTCTTCACTTCAATCAATGTCAACACTGTATTTACGACACTGAAAGAAACGACATAGAAATACCATAGTATACTTCCTCAGGTGGGCTCACGAAAAGTGAAGTATTAACAACATTAAACGCCGAAACCTGAGCTAAATACAACAGCAAGCAAGTCGGCAGAGCGCGCTGATTTCCTTCCAATCGAATGAATCCAATCCGATTTCAGAATCTGAAAAGATGTTTTTAATAAACTCTAAACTTAGCAGTCCGATTCACATATTCGTTTACAAATGAATTGCACAATAATAAAATTGCATCTAATTGCAACACAATTTCAGCGCATGCGCAGATGTGGACGCATTATGAGGTTTCTCGCAAACGTAGTTTTTTACGGCCATGTATTTTGTTTTTAAACTACAACAGTATATTTTAACACGGATTATTTCCTGATTTCCAAATGGCAACGTGTATTCCAACTTTGGAGAATTTTTTCCCCCATCTAAATCCCAACATAACGTTAACATCCTCCACTAACAGACATCAACGTAGCATTCAACAGTTAATACGCTACTGTTTGTTATGCTACTTAAGATCATTTCAGGCCTATCAAAAACTTACTACTAATTTATCCGATATCTGCCTTTAAATCGAGATTGCCATTCCTTATTTTCTGTCTTCTGTCAAAAAAATAGTATTATTTATTTTCCAGCAATTAAATCAATAAGGAAAAGCTACTTTGGTATATGTCAGAACTTGTAAGATATATAAAATATGCACAAATATTACTCCCTGTGAACTGACCGATTCAGAATATTGTTGTAGTAGATGGGGCACACCGTGCAAAGATCTTCAACAAAACAAAAAAATCAACTACATATTTTCCATTTTATGAACCCTTTTAAGTCTACTAAGAAATGCAATCTTGAGACTCTAAAAGGAAAGCAACAATGACAAAAGTGTAACATCATAGCCAACACATACAATGTCGAAATAAATATCAAATTGTATTTTATATTAAGCCCATATTTTTTTCTCTAGGGCCCTTCCCCAGCTAGGGGCCCTAGGCTAAACCTGTATGCATTTCTTTTTTCTGTTGAACATAAAAAGATATTTTTAAAAAAATGTGGGTAACCAAAGTTGTTGGTCCCCATTGACTTCCACAGAATGGGGAAAAAACACTATGGAAGTCGATCAGCACCAGAAACGGTTCGGTTACCCAGATTCTGAAAGTCTGAATTTTCATTTTTGTGTGAACTATACTTTTTAAAAAAAAAATTATTGAAATGACAGACCAAAAATAACTAAATTTAGACTAAAATATTTATTGATTTTCATAGAAATACTGTCCATTAAAAAAAAAGAAGAATATTAAACATTTTACAAAACATGTCCAACCATGTGCATTTAAACAGTGACATCCATAAAAATCACAAATTCAAGTGCAAATGTCTTAATAAATGCTTATTGTGAAACATGTAAAAAATATATATATATAAACTGTGAACATTTACAGACCATTCAAAAATTGTATACAAAAAAAAGTGAAAATATCCAGCACTGGTTGCAAAACAAAATAACACGTTATCAGTGACAATGTTTCAGCTAAAATGATAAAGCATAAAAAAGATAGCAATTAAAAATGTATGAATGTAAAACACCGACTGGCACTAGTGATAAGATTTCTTCATTCATCGATCAGATTTTCTGGCATATGGAAGCATTGATGGTGAACCTGCGAAAAAATAACATACAAAAAAAAGTGAAAATATCCAGCACTGGTTGCAAAACAAAATAACACGTTATCAGTGACAATGTTTCAGCTAAAATGATAAAGCATAAAAAAAGATAGCAATTAAAAATGTATGATTGTAAAACACCGACTGGCACTAGTGATAAGATTTCTTCATTCATCGATCAGATTTTCTGGCATATGGAAGCATTGATGGTGAACCTGCGAAAAAATAATAAAAATACACAAACACAATATGATTAGAAATATCATTCCTGCATTTGCCTAACCTGCCAATCACCCTACACACAGTGCACAGGCACATGGGAGCATTCGTGCAGACAAACAGGCATGCACACCTGTGTGAAACAAGACCAACCAGAACGTGACTGATCACACAAGAAGGTGAACCTCTCTCTGAACTCCTCTGTGAGTGGGTAACATGGAAGTGAGGCCAGACCGTCACTCACCTAAAGGCCACATGGACCCCGGTGCCAAACAACTCAAATACAGCCAGGTTCTATTTTCTAGAAACCACTTCTGCTGATAGCTCATCGTATCAGGGAGGCTATGCCTCCTGTTCGCTCTGGGGACTGTAAGATGGTAAGGTCAGAGGTCACAAATGGCCATTATTTAAGGTTTTGGATACTTTCACCTTTAGCTGTCAATAGGGATCTTCGTAATGTAAAAAAAAAATACTAACCGTCTTGTGTAATCAGTTACAGAAACGGTCTAAGTACAGTTTTGACAAATTCCACTACTATCGGAATTCAAGAGTGATTGTTTGGTGATGTGCTTCAGTTGTCCAGCAGAGGTCAGTGCAGATTTTTTTAATGTTCCAGGTTTAATGCAACTAATACACCACAATCAAAAGCTTGGGGTCACTGAGATTATATATTTTAATAAGTTAATTATATTCAGATAAATTGATCAAAAGTGACACTAAAAAAAAAAACTTGTTACAAAAGCTTTCCATTTCAAATAAATGCTGTTCTTATGCAATTTGTTCATCAAAGAATCCTGAGAAGAAATGCATCACAGTTTCCACAAATATATTAAGCAGCGCAACTGTTTTCAACACTGATGATAAGAAAAGTTTCTTTGCACCAAGTCAGTGTCACAAGATCCTTTAGAAATCATTCTGATGTGCTGAAGACTGGAGTAACGGCTGCTGAAGAATTCAGCTTTGCCAGTCACCCGAATAAATTACACTTTAAAAATTTAAAACAGAAGTCGTCATTTTAAAAGGTAATAAAACACGAAAATATTACAGTTTTACTGTATATCTGATCAAATAAATGCAGTGTTAGCATTTGTTTGATTTAGCATTTATGTGTGAGCATGAGATTTTTTTAACAAAATAATTTATGGAAATCAACATGATGCCACAAGTGCTGTTGAATTAAGCTATTGCCTCAATTTTCTTAATGCAGGCTAAGACTGGAGTGGTTCCTATGTAAAAGTGACAGTAATTTTAGGTCATTTTCCGCTGGCCTCATCCTACCTGGACAACCGGCTCCCAGACGCTGCTGGACAGTCTCCAAATGTTGGATATACTCCGTAAGGGAACGTTCTTGATCTTGGGTAGAGCTGAAGGAGCGTTCAGCTGGTCCCAGCACTGGACTTGTGTACATTCTTGGTATAAGAAGAGAAAAGAGGGGTAGTTATTAAATCTGTCGTTTTTAATTTGAATTACATCTTGAGTTACACCATACACCTGTTTGTGTAGTAAGACATTTTTCACCTATGATTCAGTCTGGAGGGTGATTTGAGTGGCGGCACCAGAGACGAGGCCAAGCCCCTTTGAGCCAAGGCATGATCACGTGTGGGTGGAGAGTTGAACGCAACTCCAGTCTGCTGTGGCCTCAGCACTTCAGTCCTCAAAGCAGGACCTAAGACAGAAGGAAAGACGGCACGTAAATGACTAATGATTCAAATCACCCGTAGAACTACCAAAATCAAGTCTGCAAGCTAGATCATGTGATTTACACACGCACCTGTGCTTGGTCCTGTTCCACGCCCGTTAACGGTGGCACTGCCTACTGAGATTTTCCTTGTAGCTCTTTGCCATTTCCTGGTGAGGAACTTCAGTCTAAAAAGCAATAAGAAAATCAAGTAACTACCCGTAAATTAAGGCAAAAAAGAAAAAAGGGTATAAGAAACTCAATGTCTCCGATTCAAATTTAAACATGTCTAAACTGAAACCGTTACAAGCCAGCATTTTCCAAACGCCGTACTAATCATGCTACATAGCCATTTTTCTTACCTTGAGATAGCGATGACTACTCTGACAGACGCTCTGAAGCGGTTTAGAGGCCTGGAGACCTGCGATTGGCTCAACGTCGGCTGGGCACCCATACGAGCGATGAGCGCAAGAGTAGCCTGTTCACACTCTTGAAACCCTCCCAGCAGCAACAGCAGATAACGCTTTTGATAAACCAGAGACTTCCTGTAACTCTCTGCTCGCAGGTATCTCTCATAAAGTCGCTGCACCTATAGAAACGGGTTCATAAAGCAAGCAGTTCAAACACACTAAAACGGTTTAAAATGTACTTTTACATCTTAATCTTCGGCGGGTCCGAAGGCGGTGGGTCAGTCACAATTGATTGCTACAGTCAGTTACAGAACTCCTTGTTTCTTCTCTCCCCTCTCCCACCGCTGAAATTTACTAGCCTTTTGGGAAGTCGTGGCCTAATGGTTAGAGAGTCGGACTTGTAACCCAAAGGTTGCGAGTTCGAGTCACTGGTCCGGCAGGTGGATTGTAAGTGAGGGGAGTGAATGTACAGCGCTCTCTTCCACCTTCAATACCACGACTGAGGTGCCCTTGAGCAAGGCACCGAACCCCCAACTGCTCCCCGGGCGCCGCAGCATAAATGGCTGCCCACTGCTCCGGGTGTGTGTTCACTGCTGTGTGTGTGCACTTAGGATGGGTTAAATGCAGAGCACTAATTCCTAGTATGGGTAACCATACTTGGCCACATGTCACTTCACTTAATTTTAAAGCAGCACGCGACACTCTTATGCAAGACTCATTCACAACACCAGGGTTTCCTAAACCGGGTTTGTAAGGGAACTGCAGGGGGGTTTGAGTTGATGGGAAAAAATTATAAAAATTAAATCATGTGAAGAAAAAAAAAAAACCTACCATTTTATTTAACAATTTAATTTGAACATTAACCAACATCAGAGAACAGTGAATGCGTTCTTAAATTATTCAAAGAAGTTAAAATCTCAAAAAGGTGCTTCAAGTACACATTTTCGACCAAACAACTGTACAAGCAATTAAAAGAAAAGGACAAATTATACATTGTGAAACTTTAATCCAACTAACCTTGTTGTTGGAGAGGTCATAGTTGGGTCTGTTTTCATTGCTAGCAGTGACTTTTGACAGTTCGGTCTCTGCTTTACGCAGCGCAGCCTGAAGAGTTGCTTTTTCCTTCTGCCAGGCCAGCTTCTCCGATAACATGCACTGCTCCGTAACAGCAGGAGAATTCACCTGATGGACAGACAGACATAAACACACCCACACAACCAAATCTATATGGAGCATCAAAAACAATTATTTACTATACTTTGAATTTTACATATATTTAAATGACAAAAATATCTCTCTCCTTTTTCTTTATATATATTTTTAATAGTAATGTGTACATACTAGATCTGTATATATTATATTTTACAACTGTATATTATTATTACTACTATTGTTATTATTACTCGTTTATACAAACTTCTCACATGTATTGGAAGGTTGGGGAGTATCGTTGCACTACACATTCTATGTTTGTCTTTGGTGTATTTAAGTCTTCAGTTATATCTTCATTTGTTTCAATTAAAAAGAAATGGATATAAATATACACACATATATATATGTATGTATGTATGTATGCGTGCATGTGTGTATGCATATATATATATAGAGAGAGCGAGAGAGAGAGAGCGAGAGAGAGAGAGCGAGAGAGAGAGAGCGCGAGAGAGAGAGCGCGAGAGAGAGAGCGCGAGAGAGAGAGCGCGAGAGAGAGAGCGCGAGAGAGAGAGCGCGAGAGAGAGAGCGCGAGAGAGAGAGCGCGAGAGAGAGAG